CCCATTTTTTATTTATTATATAAGTAGGACAAAGTTAACGGAAACATAATAGAAAAAGTGACGGAGGTGACGGACTTATGACGGAAGTTAGAAATAAGAGTTGTTTTCTCTTATTCTTATAGGTTAGGGGTTAAAATCGTTATATTATAAGATGAGGGGCTAAAACTATCCAACTTATCAAGGTAAGAGGCTATTTTTAAGCTTTTGCCAAAATTTTTATGTCTATATTAAAAGGGCTTTAAGTTTTTTAAGGTAAATTATATATTGAAAATATAATTTCTCTTATAAATATAAATAGTAATTTTATTAAAAATATTTAAATAAATTTATAAAATAAATTATAAAATGAAACTACTCCACCTGGTACCGCTTAGCCCAGAAAATGTAGTTCAAAAGATTAAGAAAGTTCAGAGCGCAAAGAAGAGTATAAAACAGATCCAAACGGCCGTGATTCAAATCATGTCCTGGCAACCACTTTTTACGGAATTTCTCGCTGATGGAGTTCGCAATCGTCACCAGCACCGAGCTTATGAAGTAACCCATCGCCGTTGAGCACCAAGACAGTGCCGTGCTAATGCTCCTCATGCTATCCGGTGCTCCCGAGTAGAAAAACTCGAGCATCCCTCCAAGCGCTAGCACATCGGCGACTCCCAGCAGCAGATATTGCCACGCCAGCCAGAACACAGAGATTGCGGCCCCTTTGCTCACCTCTTCCTCTCGCCTTTTGGCCTCAACTACTGCAGCGGCTGCCATGGAAGCCGATGCCAGCGCCAGACCCACCCCAATCCTCTTTAGCGGCCGGAGCCAATTGCTTATCCAGCTCTGTTTGGTTCCAACAATGCGCGCGAATCGTTCATATAAAGGTATTGAAGCGAGCATGATTATTAAGGGAAAAACTGTCAGTGATTGGGTAGGGATCGTGAAATTCTTCATTGTTCTGCCCATCATGATTCCTTGTTCTACGGTGAACGTCTGTAACTGAGCCAAGCAACAATTCATCATGATTGTACTCGCAAAGATGGGAAGAAGTCCCAAAAATGTCTTCGTTTCCTGGACCTCAGTTGCGGTAATTTTCTCATCCATTAACGCTTTGTTTAAGAACCTGCAACAATTTTGCTGTAATTGGGTATAGATATTTTGTTTGAGATTAAAGTAGAATACATAAAGTGAAAAACAACCCTTTCTAATATTTAAAATATCTAAATTCATTGTACAGCACTTGCTAGTCCAATGACCACCCCTTACAGGATGTGCTTAGAACTAATTTAGAACTAACGAACTTGGAATCAAATCTCAAGTCCTCTTCTCCTTTTCGAAAAAATTTTATACTGTTTAAAAAAATATCTGTATTCATTATAAAATTATTTAAATATTAATTTATTAAATATATTTAAATCGTCTTCTTATCATTTTTAATATTTTAATGGTTAACACTGATTTTCTGTTGAAACTATTCTCATTACCTGAACTTCCATCGGATTGTTCTTGCACTTGAAATTTGCATCCTGGTCTCTGTTTCTGGCGTTAAGGAATTCCTGCTTCGGATTGCCGCGACAAAAACCTTAATACTCCAGACCAAAAATTAATCAAGTGTAAGAATCTTGAAAAACATAATTCTTAGATGGAGATGCTTTGAAGTGCACTGTAACATCATGGTCCTAACATGAATGGTATTACTCGTGTCACTCATTCAAGAGCTAAATTTTGTAGTTTGATAGAGGACATACTACAAAAACTAATTACTCTAGATAATGAAATTTTACGTAATTTTATATGCTTCTAACTTTTGCAGAAAAGCTATGAGGAGTGTTTTTAAGAAATGGGGAAGGATGAATCTAGCTATATGAAATAATAATAATAACTGAAATTTTAGTGTTGCAAAAAAACTGTTAGAATTGTAACGGCAAAAACTCTAAGAACTACCAATTTGTAACTTTAGCTTGTAAATGAAAATGCATTTGGCTTAATTTCAATTTCGGTAGCAGAGAAGTCTTAAAAGATGAGTGGAATATATGCTAGATATTTTCTGTATTACCTTGCACATTCTGGCGATTGGACTTCCTCCAGGACGTTTGTATCTATAAATTGGAAACCCAGCCGCGAAAATGCAGAGTGCCAAGCTTAAGATGCCGATGGAGATGTTAAAATTCATTTTCCACCCTTTGTTTTCTTGGATCCAGACCATGAAGGTGCAAGCTATGAGACCACCAGTGCAAAGAGAAAAGAAATACCAATTGAAGAATGCAGAAATGAGGCGTTGGTTTCTGCGGTCAAGCTGATCAGCGCCATGTGCAGGCAATGCAGCTTTGATGCCACCAATTCCCGCTGCCATTGCGTACAGGCCGACGTAAAGAACAGCCGCCTGATATTCGGAAGGCCGTTTGTTCATGGCCGGCTGTAACTCAGAATATTGTGCTTGAACTGCCAGCAGAATCAGTCCCTGCATTTTGTGATATTGTTAGTATTAGAGTCTGAAACCTCGTAGGATCTCAGTTTGTTAATTCCTTTCGAGATGGAATTAAAGAAAGGAATCGAGTTTTAGTCATATTATACCATCAACTCTACCGTACAGGAGAAGATAAATGTCCTGAATCTAGTGAAGAAAGAGTCGCTGATGAAGCCACCGACAATAGTTAGAAGGAAAGAGGTACCCATGAAATTGGTGACCATATTTGCAGCTTCAGCGGCAGGGTAATGCATGGACTTGATGAAGTATGCAACAAAATTTATTGCATTAGATAGGAACACCACGTTCTCTAATACCTCCACAGCTGCCCATGACAGAAATATTCTTGATTAATCTTTCCTTCTTCTTATAAATAAGACTGGTGGCTTCAGTAATTTATTTTGATAATATATTGTTTGAATTTAATTATATCCTATATCAAATCTGTGACAAAAAGGAAAAAAAAAAAATGAAACTTACCGCAAGCGAAACTAGCAGCTCTGACTCCACCATGCTTTGAAGAATCAGCAATCCTCCCTCGATAATTGTCGTATTCACCGTTTTCGAAAAGAATCTCGTTAATCTAAAGTTGAAAAGCGAGAGACTGATTAATACCAAATACAACAGAAAGTTTACAGGTTGGACATTAATTAGGAACCAACTTTGTGTTCGATAATACATTCTGATAACAACTTCATCTGTTAAGTGAATAGTTGTTTACTTATGTATTTTATGAGTGAAAAGAATTAATAAAAATCACTTTTATGTGTGAGCATTTATCATCAACAGATATATTGTTAAACAAATTATTTCTAATTTTAACTAGACTTCTTTTGCATATATATATATATATATGAAATTTGAAATTAACTTCTGCATTCTCACTTTAAAAAATATCTAGTCATGGAAAAAAACCTAGTCACCACCTCTCTTTCTATCTCTGTTGACCTCATCCCCTTCCTCTCCTGGATCTTCCTTTTTCTCTAATTGCACTCTCTCTATCCTAGTGATTAGGAAAAATGAATAAAGGTGAGATTGTCACCATTTATGTGAGGTTTTTCTCTCTTAAAATGGTTTTGTTACCCTTTCTTAAGAGCTTTTGCCTACGTCTTCTTGATATACCTTATTGAGTTTAACTTATAGTAAACAATGAAAACAATGTAGATTTGAGGCTAGATAGGCTAATCTTTTGCCCTAGAAATAAAGACTGCATGCTAGAAAAGAGTGGTGAGATAAGTGTGGTTGCTAGAGGTGATAGGAAAGTTTTGGGGTAATCTTAAATTTTATGTGCTACGTAACTCTATTAATATCTTTATAGAGTTTTAATACCTACAAACTTTTTACATCTAATTTTTTATATTTGTCATGAGTATCAGCTCTTTTAATTAATGTCATAAGTCTTTTCTAGCATTTTCACTTTTTCTATTTAGCATATATGACAAAAGCATATCTTAAACTATACTTTGTTTGATTATTCTAATATAACTATGCAATTTTATAAAAATAAAAATAAAAGCCCTCCGCATTCTCAAGTAAAATTAAAAATACAAGAGCAACTAAATAAGGACCATTGAAAGAAGTAAAAATAATATAAAGTCAGCAATAATATAATTACAATATCATAAAAAATTATAATTTTTATAATTATAGTATATTATTAAATAAATATATACATATAATATTACATATGATTCTTTAAATAAAAAAAAGTCAACTATTTAATGATGCCATAATTTTATACCACCGCTAAGTTATCTATTGCTTTTTCCACGGTTTTTCTTTTTTTTCCTTTTTTTTTTTTTGCATAGTGTCAGTGTTAATTTTTTTTTTAAAAAAAAAAACCTTAATGGCAAATCTTAGAATCAATGGCATTGATTACTTATTGAATAAATTGATAAATTGGGTGGCAAAAAAAATATGATAAATTGATGTACCTGTGAGAGGGAACGACCGAAGTATAAGTACCAAGAATTTAGACCGTGAAGGGATCTATACAATCAATTATCTTAGAGTAGTACACTGTTGTCCTTCTAAATTATTTTTTAAATGGCTAATCACTTAAATATTTATTTTATAATTAATATTTTTAAAAATAAATGGTTGAATTAATATTTTTATTAATTTATATTATATATGTTAATTTAAAAATTAACATATATAATTTTTAAATTAATTTAACATTTAAAATTCTTTGATCAATGAAACTTTATAGATTAACATATTTAATAGTGTTACATTTTATATGATCAATAAATTAATTAAATTTACTAGATCAATGTAAAAACTAATATATATGATTTACAGGAATAAAACTTTTAGTTCAAATGTTGGTTTTTACAAATATTAATTAAAATAAGTTGCTTTTGGAGATATTTTCTATGGAGGACATCTAACAAAGCACTTTTCCTAACTAGTGTTTATCAATCATTTAACCCAAAAAAAATTAGGCAAAAAAATATTTAAAATTACATTGTTTCAATAAACTATAATAAGGAAAGCCCTAATATAATGCCATTACTATTTTAAAAATTAGAATGTTTTAGTTTTTTTCAATGGAATTAATTAAAACAATATAGTTTTAAGTAATTTTTATCTAATTTTTTATAGGTGTGACCAATAAAAATTTTATTCTATATGAAATTAATATTTATCAGCCGTATCTATAAAAAAAATTAGGTAAAAAAATACTCAAAATTACATTCTTTCAATAAACCACCATAAGAAAAAACTACAACAATATCATTATTGTTTTAAAAACTAAGATATTTTAATATTTTTCAATAGAAATTAATTAAAATAACATAGTTTTGAGTACTTTTTGCCTTTTTTTTAAAGCATAACCAATAAACATTTTCTATATATATGTATATATATGAAAATAGTGCATATCAGTCCCAACTTCTAAAAAAAATTTGGAGTCGCAAACTATATTTAAAAACTAAAATCCCAATTCAAAATTCAAAAATCTACCATATTAGATATTGATACTTAGATTTAAAAATCAAATGTGTAAGAATATATAATCAATTTTTAAATCTAGCTATCAATATTAAATAAGTAGATTTCTAAATTTTGAATTGAGTTTTAATTAAATATAATGACATCATTTAAGATTTAGATTTCAATTTATTTTTGAGGTCAAGCCTTATATCCATTTTTCCATATATATATATATATATATAATACATATTAATTCTAACTCTAATAAAAAAAATTAGAGTTCCAAAACTTAAATATCAAAATCCTTTAATGAATATTTTCAAAAATCAACTGTTCGATTTAATGTTCTATTGATATAAACATGTATGTCAATTTTTAAGTCAATAACATTTACAATCATTTTATCAAGAAACTTGTATTTTCTAATAAATATTTAACGATAGTAATGAAATAGTTATATATTCAATTAATCTGAAAATAGTTACACATAATTTCATGAATAGAACACTAAATCTAATAGCTAATTTTGAAAAATATTCATCAAAGTGTAGTGTTTTTTAAGTTGAGAATTCAATTTTTTTAGAATTTGAAATTGACATACATTATCCTCTATATTTGTGTATGATGTTGTGTACTGCAAGTCATCAACCTAAATTTTTTTAAGAAAGTCCTACCAAAAAAGTCATATTGTAATTGATATTTTTAAAAGCTAATTGTTAGATTAAATATTATATTGATGTAGATCATACTTATTAATTTTTAAATTGATCTAATATTTATTTATAATTTTTAATAAAAAAACCATATATATTTACATGCATAATCTATATAAATAAAACTTTTAATTTTATAGTTAAATATTAAAAATATGAATTAAAATGAACATAGTTAGAGATATCCTTCATGGAAGACATATTGCAAAACATTAATTTTCCATATGACTCCTCAAAAAGATCCAACATATCATCTTATTATATATTTTCATCTGCTAGAATTATTTTCCATTAATGAACGAAGAAATTAACGTACAAATGCAGAGAAGAAGGGTAGCATTGTGCTTACCATTGTTTCTGCAGACTTGAGGTTTTCGACAAAAATGAAGCTGTTTTTATGAAGAAAACTCAAACCATCAAAGACAAGAAGAAGCGGCTGGCGTGGGCAAATAAGGGTTTGGCCTCCTCTTTTAAAGTAAGTGGAAATATGGAAGAAATGAGAACGTAAGAATTTACAAGGAAAGTACAACTACTCCCTCCCTCCTAGACTCGTAGATATTTTTTATTTTTTATCTTCAGATTAAATATTTAAAAATAATTTATATTTTTATTTATTTTATCTTAAAAAAAAGAAAATAAAGAAATATTTTTTATACTAATAAAATAAATAATTTAAGTAAAAAAATAATAAAAAAAAGTTAAATAAAATTTTTTTTCTTTAAAATATTAAAAAACTATTATTAATTTAGAATAATTTTTAAATTAAAAAATATCTACTTTTATTCTATAACCGAATGAGTATATAAAGTGAGATTTTATTTTTGGCTTTATTCAATGATTGGTTTATTAACTATTAGTTTAATTTTATTTCAGCTTAGAAAATTAGTTTTTTTTTTAAATAGTTTATAAATTTTGTAAAATATTTCAGAATAGTTTACTATATAAAACTTTCATTAATTTTAACAAAAAATAATAGAAAAGTTAAATCAAAATTAAAATAAAGTAATTTCATCCATCAAAATAGTTTACGACAAATTGTGCAAGATATTAAAACATGACAATAATTGTGGTTTTTGTTATAAAGGAAAATTGTCAAAAGGGAAAGTTGAAATAAACATGTGGTAAAAATTACAATTTCTCATACACTGAAAAGAAATAAATTAATTTTAAAAAATAAATATTAACAAAAGATATTATTAAAGATCAATTTAATCAAATAAAGAGAAATTACTATTAGAAAGTTAACAAATTAAACTAAATCAAAATAAAAGTAAAAGATAATAAATGAATTTAAAAATATTTAAAAATAATGATGAAATAAAAAAATATAAAAATTACTAAGCTGTTTATTAAATTAAGTCTTTTATTTTTAAAAATTCAAGATAAAAAAGACAGCGAGATTATTATTATTTTTTTTTGGGACAAATGGCCCAGCCCAGATACACTTGTGCTAAAAGAACGGCCAAAAACATTGTTAAGACCCTTAACTAACCCCATTTCAGCACATCAGCCCTGAATGAAAAAACATGCATATAAACCCCTAAACTGCTCGATTTGTGCAAATCAACCCTTGAGCTGACAGCTGCTGTTGATTAGATTCATTAATCTCACAGTTAAAAGAAACGGCCTAACATTAATGAAATTTCACGTCTTGGCTAAAAAATGATTAATTACAGTTTAATCCTGAACTTAGTCAAATTTGTAATTGAATCAATCCTTAATCTATGAGTATTTAAACAAAGGTAAAAATACAAACCATAAAATCTTCATTCTTCATTCAATCTTCCACTTCCCATCTCTCAATCGCTTGAATCTTGATCTGCCCACCATCCACCACTTCAAGTTTCTCTTATTTCTTTTCTAATATCTCAATTCATCAATTTCATGGTCTATTCTAGACTCCTTTTGTGCATAATTTAGATATCCATTAGTTACGAAATATATATACTTGTAATGCGTACCTCCTATGTGATCCAACATTGAATTATTATGGCAGAGGTAGGCATGTGTGAGGTTAAAAGGTTAAGGAAAACCGTGGCTTGGACCAATGGGCTAAGATTCACAGGGCTTTCAACATAAGATGATGCTTAGGGAATGATCCAATTAGTATCTAATCCTAAACCATATAAAGTTGGTCGATTTTGTAATTGGTCAAAAAGAGAAACTCAAAGGCCTAGTTATGAAGAAATGGATAGGAGAAAATATTGAAACTCATATTTTTGTTTTCATTATTTTGTTATTAAAAATAGTTGTAAGTTCCCTTTTGGTGTATCATTGTATTTGCAGTCGTTTGTGAAAAAGAAAGACAATGGCATTGATTCTTGACAAAACCTTATGTTAAATCCCCAAATTTATCCTAAATTATTGATTAAACTTCTAAACTTTTATTGAAGTAAGTTAGTGTGATACCCCAAAAATTTCTAGAATAAATAAGTGAGTTAGGGACTAACTTGTGAGGAAAATATTCTTTTGGGTTTAATTGCCAAAATTTGATAAGTTTAGGGACTTAAAAAGGGAAAAGATTTTGGATAAGGATCGGTTGGCTTTTTTCTTCTTTCTTCTTCCTCACCCGATTCTGCTCTTCTACTTTCCTCCCATTGCAGCCCAAAAACAAACCCAGCCACCGACGCCTATTCCACTTGAGAAACCGGTAAAGCTTGATGATTTTTGCCTTTCTTTTCCTGTTAAAAACCAGATTTGGAGCTTAGAAATTCTCCCCCCTTGCTGGAAAATCCGGATCTGCTTTGCTCTGTCCGCCGGCTGCTCTTGTTGTGGGGGCGAAATTCTTCAAATTCCGGTAAGCCACAGCCATGTACTCCATCTCTTTAGCTTTGAATTGCCTTGGGTTTACCTTAATTGCTCTTGGTTCCTTCAATTTTGGGTAGACCCGTGAGCTTCCCTGCAGCTTGCCGCCGGCCTCTTCTTCTCCCTGCCAGCTCCGGTTTTGCTTGTTAAATTGTGGTATGTGGCAGCTTCTCTAAGTCCCAATTTACCCCTTTAATTGCTGAATTTTGTCCATTTATTGGCTGCCCCTGTGATGTCCGAATTTGACAGAAAAATAGGGATAAATTCCGGTAGCCTTTGAACATGTCTTAAGTTGAATTCATGTAGTAAATTAGCTTAGTTTGGCTGCTGTGATTTTTGGAGAGAAAAACCCGTGATTAGCTAGTGTTTTTGCCAATTTTTGGAAGTGTGGTTACTGTTCACGGAACTGTTCATAGATCACTGTTCACACACCGAGGGTCAACGATTAACGGGGATTTAAATGATTAGTTTGTAATATAAGAACAAATTTGGAGATGTCCGGTATTTTGATTAAATGTTTCGGGGTATTTTGATTAGGTTCTTGATCGTTTTGTTAGTTTAGCACTGAGATCGAGTTTTCGGGTTTATGCGAGTGAAGTAAGTAAATTTATGGTAATGCCCGTACAGTTTTTAAAAGCATGTTTTGATTTGTTTTTAAAGTGGTGGCGGGATTAAACCCATTTTACACAAGTATGATTGATTTGAAGTGAAATTCTTATGTTTTTCATTAAATTGAGCATGCCTGCTTGAGATTTGTTTGATTGTCCTGATGATTTGAAAGTGATTGGTGAATTATGATTTTTCTGTTAACTTCTGCCTGTTTTGTCTCCGATGTGGTTATGTTATTGATAACACTGCTAGTGGGGGTTAAACGTTAGCACATGTCGACATGTATTTCTATAGAGCTGGTTCCTCCTGCCAGTGGGAATTGTTAAACACTGGTATTTCTGTAATCCTACTAGTAGGATTTTACACTAGTAATTTCTGTAACCTGTCAGTGGGAGGTTTATAACACTGGCCGTGACCTATGGAGAAGAAGTCTATTTCGTTCTCGTACTTGTATCTGTTTTTCTGATTACACTTGTTAGCATGCTATACGTTTAATTAATGGCAATCCATATTTTACTTACTGAGTTATCTCATAGTTTTTCCTTGTCCACGATTTCAGGAAGTGAAACTGAGGATGGGGAAACCACGGGAAGTGACAAGTTAGAAGGCTAGCCATTTTGAGATTGATATAGATTTTAAATATAAATCCTGATCTTGTAAACTAGAATGTATTTGGAGATTTTATAATATCAAAGCAGATTTTAAGATTTTATCTTTAGATTTTGATGGTATCAGATTATGATATGATTAAGTTCCGAGCCTTGTGCATTTGTGGGACCCTCTTATGAGTGCACGGCGTCTGCTGCGTCCCCGAATTTGGGTTCTGGGATGTGACAGTTAGCCCCTAAACTTAGTAATCTAGAAATTTTAAACCTCTTTTTTCATGACAAACTCTATGCTCGTTTGTGTCTCACTTACATGGACAATATATTGACATGTCATTATTGACGTGATGAATATTGACCATGTTCATGCAAGTAAGGTAGAAATGGGCATTAAATTCGTTGTAAGGAAAAAGATTAAATTGCCTAGATTACCAAGTTCAAGAACTTATTCGTTTTAATAAAAGTTTAAGAGCTTAATTGATAATAAAGGGTAAATTCATAGGCTTAACATAAGGTTTTGCCTTGATTCTCTATTTGGTCTTGGTCTAAGCTTCTAAAAATGTCTCATTTTTCTTCTCTTTTTTTTTTTTGGCAAAACCTTATGTTAAGTTGCCAAATTTATACCAAATTTTCAATTGAGCCCCTAAACTTTTATTGAAGCAAATAAGCCCTTAAATTTGGTAATTTGGATAATTTAACCCTCTTTCTTTATAAAAGACTTAATGCCCATTTGTGTCCCATTTGTGTGGATAAGGAATTGACATGTCATTGCCTACATGGTGAGTATTGACCTTATTCACGCAAGTAAGGCACCAATAATTATTAAATCCATCGTATAAAAGAGTTAAATTGCCCAAATCATCAAATTCAAGGGATTATTTGCTTTAATAAAAATTTAAGTGTTTAATTAAGAATGTGGGGTATGTTTGGGAGTTTAATGTATGGTTTTACCTTCTTTTTTCAATCTTGTAGTTGTATTCTTTTTAGTATGATTCTTTGCTTCTAATTAGACAAAGATGTTCGTGATCATCCCCTAATGCTCAAAGTGGCTTCCAAGTTCAACTTCCACTGATTAGCCCCAAATTTTCTTTATCCCTTTTATTTCCCTATTGGTTATAAAGTCTCTTAGCATTTCATAGAAATTACATGTTCAAGTTCGTGAATTTATAGCTAAATGTGTCTTTGAAGGAATCTCACACCTTTGGATGAACCTAAATGTTTGAAACCTATTTCTTTTATGATTTCTTGCATTTTTTGCACTTAGGATTTTGTTTATATGAGGCTTGTAGTACATTCATACAGAGAATTTTAGTTAATCATGCATTTAGACTTTTGAGGGGCATGAGAATTTTTTTGGTTAAAATCCTATTTTTGCTTCCTACATTTTGATAAAAAGTCTCTCTTTAGTCTCTCAACTTAAAAAGCTATTTTTGGTCTTTAAAGTTTATTTTTTTAGTTCCTTTTTGGCCCCTCCTTCAATTAAGTGATGATGTAAAACTTTTTTCCATTAAATAATTTACTTTTTTAATTTTCTAATTATTTACACCATTAATTGCAAGATTTAAGATTATGCCACATTTCAATTTATTTTTTTAAATGGTTGGATGAAATTAAGCCACATAAAATATGTTGTTTTAGGACCCTTGACAAGTTAGATGCCACATGAGAGAGAGAGAGAGAGAAATGAGATTTATCTTTTAGTTACCTACTTAAGTCATGCTGGAATTGTTTCAGCTTATTTTTAGGAGTTTGTTTTAGTTAAAATTGTGAGTTGGCAGATAACAGGGATAGATGGTGAAATCTAGATGGAGATCTAATTCAGTCTATTGTTGAGGTGTTCATCTTCTTTAAGAAACTACCCATATTCATGTAACCACTTGGTAGTGGGGAGCTACAAGAGGGGAGGAGACAAACAAAAGAAAAATTTCTGATCTTTCAACACATGGCTAGCCCTACCCATAACTCGTCAAATTTTTAGTTCTCTAATTTCATAGTAATTGCTCACTTTAGCTCATAGATTTTGGTTTTCAGCATAGATCCTAGTAGATTTAGGTTGTTTTCAGCATTCAAATAGCTAAGTTAGTTCTTATGGTTGCTTCAACAATTTCCTTTTGTGTAATGAACATTAGGCTTTTCAAGTTCTGTAAGGTATTGTTCTTTTTTTTACTAGTATTAGTTTAATGTTTGTGATAAGTAGCATTTTTCCAAATGATTACTTATATGGCGTTCACGCTACTTGTTTTTTGGCATGTTAGTTTAACCTCCATTCATATTAGATTCATGATTATTTAGGATTAAATCTCCAGTTCTATAGTGGTTTGATTTCTAGATCTATTTGTAGCTAATAGTTTAATTTGACAATAGACATACTTAGTTTAACTTGGATGCATCTTTTATTTGCAAATTTACTTTAATTTGCATATCATTTATTTCATTTAGTATCTATTGACTTTAATTCACAATAGTGTTTAAGTCCTTAGAGCTATCTAAGGCAGAGTTAGCAACCTATTCTACGAGAAGGCCTCCCTCCCTCTTCAAAATTGTCTAAAGGCGTAGATTTTGATTTTAAACTAACATTCTTCTAGCCATCCACAAGGAGGTCGACTGTGAAGGAGAAAAGGGTCATTGGGAAAATCCTCCTTTCTTGCTTTATAGCAAACAAGTGGCACGCTTGCATCCAGATTCTGTACGTGTGACATCGCTTGAGGATTTTTAAGGCTTGAGGATTTTTAAGGAAACAATCCTTTTGTGGCATGCCAATGGGACCTCACCATGTCTTAAAGTTTTTAGATCCACTTTTCCTTTATTCAAGAAGAGGCATAATTATGCCACCAAAAAAAAACACTGGGAAAGTTGCCCTAACCTTATAAATTGGGCTTGATGAAGGCAGTCCAATACATTCAGAAGGAGACAATAAGCTAGTCATTCCACCAACATCACTAGCATTTGGGGAACACTCCTTTGTCAATCCAACCTTCAACAAGGATAATGACTCCAAAGATGATGGTGTTGAATCAAGTGATTCCCTTATGAAGGTTATGTTAGAATAGATTAACATGATGTGATAGACATAGTTGGGATCAAGGAAAGAGCTCAACAGAGAAGCCAAAAGCAAGCCAAACAATTTGATGAGTTTATTCATAATTTGGTCTAAGTTGCAACCAACATGCTTGTGGCAAGAGCAAAGTGTAGAAAATTGAAGAGCTTTTCTAGTTGCTACAAAATAGATGGAGGAAGCATTTTGACTTACTAGAATTGAAGCTCAGCCACAAGCAATAGATCCTCATAGGCAAAACCATAAAATTCCAACTCTAACACTCAGGGGGTAAATTAATCTACCATAGATATTCCCTTAGAATCAATAGGCAACAGGTGGACTAATGCAGCCAGAACCAATTGAGGTGGCACCATGTGTGGCAGAATTGGGCAATCCTCAACAGCTTAGATATTTGCCACCTCAACGCTAGCCAAATAGAGGTCATCCACAGCATAATGCATCTCCACAAAGAGAACACTTTCAGTCTTATGTGCCACCAGTGTAATAAAATATCAAGGTTTGCCAGGCCAGTACATTAACAGTGATTAGATCATTAATTTGGTGCAAGAGGCTTATGGTCCATTTTTAAAGCCCCTAGTCAAACCAGCTTACAGAAAACCATAACCAGATTTTATAAATTAAGAAAATCCTTTTCCAATGGGATTCAATATTCTAGAATTCACATTATTTTCTAGAGATGGTGGATATTCTACAATTGAACACATAGGCCACTTCACAATTTAGTGTGGTGAGGCCTTCAGTGATGATAATCTAAAGCTCAAACTTTTTCCTAGTTCTCTAACTAGTACATCTTTTACCTGGTATCTGAGTCTGCCACAAAATTTAATTTATTCTTGGAGGCAGATGGAACATTTTTTCCACATTCAATTTTACTGTAGTGAGCTAGAAGTGTCCATGGCAGACTTATCTCATTTGGTGCAGTTACTTGGAGAAACATTTGAGACCTTCCTTACTAGAATTAGGAAGGCCAAACTTAAGTGCAGAGTTACCTTGCCAAAACAGGAGTTTGTTAAGCTGGCACAAAAAGGTCTAGATATTGAGTTAAGGAAGAAATTTGAGGGAATGGAGTTTCGTGATTTTCTTTGAGTTGTCTTATAAAGTTGGTTTGCTATAAAAACTTACTATGAGAAAACACACAAAGAAAATTTGCATTTTTCATAACTCAAGTTTTTATCAAAAAAAGGAAAATATATTTTAATTAACCTTATCCTTTATATTTTTTAAGTTAATTTAGACTTTTTATGAAGAAAAAAACATGTATATATATCAATAATAAACTTAATAAAGAAAATCAAAATCAAAAAAATAATAAAATATAAAAATATGAATTTTTCTCTTTTGTTTACTAATATATCCAATCCAATGGAACTAAAAGAAAAACTAAAAAAATAAAAATAAAAAGAGGAGTAAAAAAGGTAAAAAATATATATAAATAAAATGCTTAATTGATTAGGGTAATTAGTTTAAATGTGATTAACTAAATTAATTAATTTTAATTAGAGTAAATTAATTATATTTACTGGTCTAATTTGAGATAATTAGATTTATTTAATTATTTTGATTAGAGGTTAGGAAATGTGATTAATTAATTTTAATTAATGTTGAATTAATTATTCAATTAAGTTAATTATCATAATTAATTAATTTTAATCCTTTATTTTTTAGTCAAAAGTAAAAAATTATATCTCCCTTTTATTTCCATTTCACCCAAAACTTTCATGATCAAGCAATTTAGTCCAAAAAGTTTTAAATCTTTTCAAATCAATCCTTCTTGTTTTGAATTTAATCAAATCAATCCATTTAACTTTTTATTTGTGATTGTGGTGCATGCATGTTCTTGATTTTGTCCATTTAGTCCAAAAATTTAAAAATGCTGCAATTTGGTTTATCTCTTTTTCAACCTTGCTTATTAAGACATAAATATAAATATAATGAATAAGTTGAATTAAAACCCCCAATGTTAAAGTATGCAACTGTGTTTAAATGGAGGGTTGCGAGATGTGCATATGCCTTTCCTCGCTTTTAATCGAACCCCCGAACCCCGATTTTTGTGTAGACCCTTTTTAAGGTGACTTGTCCTACCTTATAATTTGGATGAGTGGCAACTCCTTTTTTTATATTTTTCACACTTAATTTTATTATTTTTCTTTTCTTTTTAAAATTTTGAAATCTTAAGTTGGTTGTTAATAGCTTCTCACAAGACTTATTACAAAAATACCAACTTTGATTTGGATGTGGTAGAGGTGGTGGTAGACAAGCCTGTTTTTTGCCCAAATCTAGTAAAATAGCCCAGCAAGCTAACAAGATAGTGAAACATTATGTTGGCGAGGCAAGAAAGCAATGCACTTTTGATTTCTCAAAAACTAGTGAAACTTTTTACCATCTTAGAAAGGGTGGTCTAATTAAGTTGTCGTTGGGGTGTAAAATCTCAACAACTGGCAAAATTAGAAATAAAGAATATTGCAAGTATCATAATCCTTAGAAACATTCTACTAATGATTGTGTTATTTTTCAGAATGTTTTATAAGACAAAATCGACAAAGGAATTTTGTGTTTTCCAAAAATGACCAAAGCTAAGTATAGAAATCAACCATATTCTAAGTGCAAACTTGTAACTGATAATATGAGGTGGGTTATTGAGAAGGAAAATACTTGCAGAAATCAGACCAGATCAGACCCACCACAAAAGAGAAGGCATGGGGGCCATGGCTCAACACAATAGAAAATTAACTTAAATTAGGAAACTACGCCATCTGAGCAAGTAGAAAAGCCCAAGATGGTGAAACCATCACTTAAATCTCCTAGCAAACAGTGGGAATATGTGGTTCATCCAAAATTTCCCAAGGTTTAGAATCCCAAAACTTTGAGACAGTGTCTACAATGCAAAAGGGCAACAAAGAAACTAATAGCAAATTAGACTCAGTCGCTCCTAGTGAGAAGAAAATATGTGTGGGTTCATAAAGATAAAGGAGGCATATCTGATCAAACTTCTCTAGAAAAGAAAGAACCACTGAAAAGTTTAGCATCACCTTAAGCTTTGACTATGGAAGCAAGTGAAGAACTGGTTTGAAAGCGATATTTAGTGTGTTAGATAAAGTGTTGGCTGATGCCTTAGCCATAACTGCTTTAAGGGTGCCTATGGCCAAAAGTCCTTTTAGCGTCCAAATTTTTCAAAAAAATCAACCTATTTGTCATGGCTGGGAACCTATTTTGCTCAAGTTGCCTGATCGTGTTGATTGGTGGTATGCGTTTTATAACGCCCTACTACAGCAAAAATCTGACGTCCTTTGAAGAATTTATCCGACTATGTTATTATTTCTCGTGAGCTATATCATCGCCTCCCTAGCGATATCTTGGCTAGATGTGTTAGCGATAAGGAGGCTTATCACAAGCTAAGAGAAATTCATGATCGCACATGTGGGCAAGATAGCCGTGTAAGCCTATATTGCCGGATCTAGCGAGTAGGGTACTATTAGCTAGATATGGCTCGACAAATCATTGAATTTTAGCAGCAATGTGTATCTAGTCAGCAAACTTATTATCAAAATGAAAAATGCTTCTCTACTAACAGCGTCCAAGATTGGCACCATCCTTACATGGAATACTTCGCTGAGGGAATATGGCCAGAATCCCTGAAGGATGCGCACAATTTGAAGAGATCTTTTTCAAAGTTTTTTATGGACGGTGGAATTTTGTTTCGCACCAGCTTTGCTAGTGAGCCGTTTCGTTGCCTATCATTGACGGAATCTCATAAAGTTATGGCTGAAAAACATGCAGGGGAATTTGGCGAGCATCAAAGGTGGAGAAAGTTGTATGAACTGCTTTTAGCTCATGGCTTATCAGCCAAGCATGAAGCAAGACGTTGCCGATTTCGTTCGATGATGCCACACCTACCGAGTTCATGCAAGTCTCAATCATTCCCATCCTAATTTATTACAAGATATGAAGATTGCTTGGCCTTTTCATACTTGGGGCTTGGATCTCATCAGCCATATCTATCCTCCATCTGAGGGTTTATTTGGATATTGGTGGCTACCAAATTTTTCACCAAGTGGGTGGAAGCTGTCCCTCTTTGCAAGGCTACAGGTCCAGCGATGTCAAACTTCATCAAGGAATACATAATTTGCCGCTTTGGGATCCCATACAAAATTGTAAATGACAATGTAACTCCTTTTGTTAATCAACATGTGCGAAGATTGCAGGACACTTATAAGATCGAGCATCGGAAGTCCACTCCATACTATCCCCAAGGCAATGGCCAAGCAGAGGCAACTAACAAAAGTTTACTAAGGATTTCAAGCAAGATGGTCCATGAATATGAAGGAGGATGGAGCATTCATATGTAGGATACTCTTTGGGCTCATCGGACGTCATCCAAGACTGCCACAGGTTGCTCACCTTATTTTTTGGTATATAGTTGCGATGCTATCCTTCTTGACAAAGTCCTAGTGCTAACTGCATGCATCTTGGCTCCATCTGAATTAGATAGTAATGCTGATATTTGTGGCCAGAAGCAAATTGAAGACTTGGAATCTATCGAAGCACTTTGCTAGATGGCACAAGAAAAGGCTTAAAAATATTGAGCCAAGATGACAAATGCGTATAATCGTGCAGTCAAAGCCAGAATTTTTGTAGTTAGACAAATGGGTCTCAAAGCCTCTAACCATGTGAGGAAGAATATTGTTGGACCATCTAAGTTTGCTACCAACTGGGACGGTCCTTTCATTGTCACGGAAGCACATGACGACATATATTATTATCTCAAACCTCACAAGGGAGAATCGCTATCGAATCCCGTGAGTGCTAAATGGCTCAAGCCATACTATTTCTAGGCTTCACTAACATCATTTGTTTTGTAATTTTGCTTCTGGCATTATCATTTATTCCAGCCAAGGGAATTAATTTTATCCATGTTGTATTATTAGATGTAAGGCACAATAGCATGCCCTTATTATATTCGGCACCTTATTGTCAAACTGTTTGTATTCCTCTTATTTTGCTCTATCACTGTGAAAGGATAGGGAGTGTTAAAAAACAAGACAAAAAAAAAAGAGAGAAGAAAGTGAGTCATGTAATATGATCATAAAGAAACCTCCTTGATCCACTTTTTTAGCACAAATTTATTTGTCCAAATGCCATGCTCAGAACAACAGAGATATGAGCAAGAAAGTAAACAAGCAACAGGGCCCAGACTTAGCTGGAAGCAAGGATGTTCAACCCAGAATAAACATAACTAGAGGGTTACATTATGGCAACATCACTAACAGTCAACATACAACAAAGGAAAAAGAATAAAACATGAAGAGAAAATTGGGACATGCGACCGATTAATGGCAAAAAAGGGGCCAAGCTCGTCTTCGAAAGCCTTGGCAGCCTCAATGCAGACTTGGCAAAGCTCGACTACACTATTGCAATTCAGACGCTCCTTTTCTTGATTGAGCGATCCTAGATATGCCTTGGCTGACACCAATCCTTTTTCCAACTTGAGGATAAGCTTTTTTGTCTCGGCCAAAGACTTCTCCATCTCTTCGATATGCTTTACTTGCTCCTTAATCCGCTCATCCAAGCTCTTAGCCATGTCACCTTCGGTTGTGCAAAACTCAGTCTTCTCGAGGTATGCCTTTGCCAAATTTGACAGATGTGTGCGAATGGCGTTGACTTTGAAGTTTATACTTTTAGCATCATCAATGGCATCCCTACACAAATAGAAGAAACCCTCGTTCATTTCAGCAAAGGGGATTACCTCCATATGTCGCATGGTCGCACAAAGGATTGAAAAGGTGTCATTAACCACCACTTGGCTTTTTTGCGCGTCATCAGATTTGGAAAGATGTCTAATAGATAGCATGCCCATGACTCCAACATTGTGGGCATTGCAAACATACCCACTGCTCGCGAGCCACCCATGGGCACTAAGCCGAATCGAGCTAGTGAGACATCTTTGTCCTCATTCATTTCATCAAGATTTTTGAGCAGCCTCAGGGCCAAGTCATCGATCTCACCTGACTTAGCTGGAGTCGAGGATGGCTGACCATTATGCTCAACCTCCCTAGGGTTGGTAGCCTTTTTTGCTAAGCTTATGGCTGGTGTGCCAACGTCCACTTTGCTTTTATTGGAAATGGATTTCTTCACAGCATTGCCCACATCTGATTTGAATTCTTTAGGGGCAGCCCTGTTTGTGTTAATGTTGCCTTGGAAACCCTTGTCTTTACCTCTTTGTTGGAACCATTCTCACTTTTAGACAGGCGTCGTCAGCACTTGATCTCTCGCTATTGCTTTCACTAGAATCTGAGTTATTACCTCAGTGACCTTCTTCCCCTTTTCTCTACTAACACCGATTGCAACCTTGGCCTTGCCTTTTTAAACACCTGGTGAAGTGAATGGGGGCACAATTGATCAACAAAGAAATATGCTATTTGACCAAGAAGGGCACCGAAACCTAAACTATTTCATTGAATAGTTTTAAGTACCTTTCTCATCGGTGGCAGAATCAATTTTTCTCTTTGTTATAAATCCCCCAGGAACTAATTCCAAGTCACCAGCTTTGAAAGGAAGTCATTTGTTGATGGGACGCAGCTGTGCACGAGGAGAAAGAAGTAAGCTAAGTTAACAATTTCACCTCAACAATTGTTAAGAATGCTTTCTAGCTTTTATGGAGATGCAGAGGCTCATACTTTCAATATCGCCGCTTTTAGTTGAGTTTTTGCTATTTCAGGCTTCCTCGCCACACTGAGTGGTGCCATATGAGACCTTCATGCCTCCCCTAGCTTACAACAGAGTAGAAGGGGGCTTAGAAAGCATGTTTTAGCATTTCTCAAGATAAAAAAAAAAATCTCGCAATTACAAAAGGTAAGGGACGAATCCAAATGGCTTACCGTAGTAGGCTTTTGTGGTGGAGCTTCGCTAGCTTTAGCCTTCTTCAGTAACTCAGCTGTGAAAGATGTAGGGTCACTCCAATCAATGATAGAGTCAACAACACTAAGTATGTCGTCAGGAAGCGGAGGTTTACTTATTTCGTTGGCTAGAATTTTTTGCCGAACTTCGGGATTTGCCAAGGCTTTTTCCATGTTCACAGCCAAGGCCTCCACCCTTTTAGCCTCTTTAGATTTGGACAGAACTTTATCATCACCAAGGATGGGAATAGGACCAAAGCCGTCGCCAGAAACTGCCGACTGTTCATGCAAACATTAAGCCACATGTTAAAGAATCTTTAGTGAGGTCAACAATGATCAAAAGACACATAGATGAAAGGCCTAGCAATACACTTACTTGGAATGAGGCTTGAATCGTCATACTTCACACCCAAGCGCTTATCGTTGTGAACGGGTCTCGACCTTTTGATTCACTTGATTAGCTCGGGATCTAGATCACCCCAAGAGCTTTCATCGCTACCAATGTCCTTACTTGTCTCCTTCTCCTTGGTAGTTCTTACATTGGAGGGTGTGGATACTTTAGCCCTCCTTTATTTGCTGGCTGGTGAAGCAGAAGTCCTACGTGCCCTACTTTTGAGCGGATGAGCAATGCTCTTCCTCTTGCCTAGAACTAGTCTTTGTGAAAAAGCAACTTCGCCAACTCCTCTTGCAACGTCATAAGAAAAACACAAAACCACGGAACATTTTTCAACACTGGTTAAGTTTGTCCAAGTCTTAAAACGAAAGAAGAACCAAAGTATAAGATGAGAGTAAGAGAGTGTGCTTACCTACAACTCTAGCATTGCCAGCTGCCTCCTACCCGAGTTCTTCACCAGTTGCGGCAACATGATCATATTCTTCCTCAACCATGCCAAGAATAGGAGGACAAACTGGTACCCACTGTCCATTGTCCTCCCTTGTCAAGAACCCCCAAGAATGTTTGTTGCAGTAACTCAAGAAAGAATTTTTATGGATGAAGAGATGTTCACAATCTTGAAAAGTAGAGTCATACTTCACCACTTCCAGCAATGATTGAGTAAAAGTCACAAACTTCTTCAGCAATGTTTCCTAATGCTCCAACATCGATGACGACATGATTGACATCCTAGCAGTATTAAAAAATCTAAGTGTGGAAGTGCCTTCACTCCACATGGTTGTGGTAGCCAATGATGGGAATCAAGACGACAGCATATCTACCACGTCATGTGATCCATTACACACCCAAGGAGGTCCAGTCACGCGAGCTAGAGCTAAGAAGATGCGTGAAGCTTTAAATGGCCTTATTGAGCAGATCTAGGTTGAAAACAACATACAACAGGCAAATCGAAGCTTGGATGATTATCAAGGCATGATAAACATCATTCAGGTTCAAGAGAAGCTTAATTGAGGTCATTTATGCTAAATTACACAATTTGCGTCAATCTCGCAATTCTGTCACAATTTGTAACAAACTAATATTTCATGTTACTTTAGGCTACTTTTAGTGATTTTCATGTTTTTTATATTATTTTGGGCTGAACATTCATTTATCTAAGGCCCAATTCGTGGTTATTATGATTAGGGCTTAGGGTGTTAGTTTCCTATTCTGATTAGAATTACTTTTCCCTATTTAAAAGGGGCTTGTAACCCTAATTGAGGGAGGTGATGAATCTGAGATTTTGAGAGACTTCTCTCTTTGGTTCGTTTTAGAACTTTACAGAACTTATCAAGATTATTCTTGTGGCGTTCTAACCTGACTTATCATCCTCGTTCTTAATCGTTTGAGGGTGTGGCGTCAACCAAATTTATACCTCTGGTTCTTGTTGCGTCATAGACAACGGGTCAAGGTCCTATTATAAACCTGATTTAGCTTTCCTGGAGTTTAGAAATCGTGCTGTGGGTCTCATTGTTCTCTTTAGGGTTCTCATCATCTTGGTATCAGAGCATCAAATCCTTAAATTAGGTTTGCGTATCTTTAGTTTTCAGTTTTTACATAAAAAAAAAAATATTAGGGTTCTTTTCTTTCTTGTCTGCAACTCTTTTCATCTTGTTCTGTTGAA